TCACTGTACTACTATTCTACGACGAATTCAATTCATACCACTATACTATTCTACTGCAAATTCCATGCATACCACTATAATATTCTATCGCGAATTCTATGCATACTGCTGTACAGGGGCGGATCTACTTAAGGGCTTTTTGGGCTACAGCCCAGGGCCCCGTAGATGCAAAGGGCCCCAGTCCTCACTGAAAACAATAGGTGCTATTTTGAATTAAAAAAAATATCTAATATTTAAAAAAAAATATTATAAGGTTGGAAACCCTGAGATCAATCAACCCATGCATGTGCGCGTCTATCGAACGGAATGCTGCTAATAGGGCGGGTCACTACAATCCTGATATAAGCGCTACTAAAACAAAAAAATAAATCCGCGAATTATGTGCCATGTGCTGCGCATTCCCTTAACCTAGTTGGTGANATGAAATTATTTTATTGTCCTATTTTTTTCTATATACTTATCTACATCACTATAGAAAACAGTTTTTTTGACAAAATGGCTATTAGGGCCCCTAAGTAATTTCAGCCCAGGGCCCCACAAATTCACGATCCGCCCATGCTGCTGTACTAAATGAATTCTATGTATACTGCTATACAAAAAGTAATCTTCATTTTTACAACTAGAAACACAACATCAACCGAATATTCAATAATTCTTAATAATTTATAATACTGAGTGAAATTTCAATTCTAAGAGATGGATGACGACAGTTTGCTGCCCGATGTCCATAAAATTGTACTCCTTTCATCAATATAATCCGTTTTATTTATTCCCATCTTGACTTTGACCAGGACGGGTTTGAAACGTCGAATGTTATATTTATGAACAATATGGTATCGGGAGGACATGCATTTTGTGTGCACATTGAAATAGAGTAAAAAAAAAATGATCTTTACCTGATTTATGGCTTTCTTCTTCAAATGCTTCCAAGTCCATCTTGAAATCTGAACAAACTGTTTAAATCCAATTAACAATCAGGAACTGAACACAAGCTAAACATTGAATAACACGCATCCACCATTGCTACGGAAAGAAATTACAATTCCAATCGATAGCAGACTTCTCACTGTTTGGGTGCAACAAAAAAGTTCGTTAACGCTCATTCAAGCATTTTGCCATAAAACAGTTCTTCCATTAAGATACTTAAAATAGGAGAACAAACATTAGAGGTTACGCTGCTGCCACAATTGCCTCACCCACGGATGATTAAGCAACAGATGGATATAAATTTGTATAAAATAAAAATAATAATAATAAGGGCAGTTATGATTTCTTTCCCAGACATAAGATAACTGGTACTCATTGTTTTCATCCAGCTTGAGAAGAAAAAAAATTTTTAGTTCGCAAAATCGTTTTCACTTTTCGTCCGAAACCTAAAATAGAAGCGCAATGTTAACAGATATTTAACACCATTTCTATCAAGCTAAGTCAAAAAACACTTTTCAAATTTAACTTCCTTTAATCTTCTCAATTTCTCCTAGTCTAATTTCTTTTTTTTTCTTTTCGTACAATAGTTGTTAAATTAATTCAGTATAATCATTTTTCTCCAACTCATCCTAGATATAAAGATGAGCATATGGTACAACTATTTGCAGCATGAAAGATTTAACTCTACAGTAAACCTATTATCTACCAGGAGACACAACTCTTTGGTATATCTATATCTACCAGAAGACACTTAACGCTATAGTGTACCTATTTCTACCAGTAGATACCTAACTCTATGGTATACCTATTTCTACCAGGAGATACCTAACTCTGTGGTATACCCATTTCTACCATGAGATACCTAACTCTATAGTATACCTATTTCTACCTAACTCAATGGTATACTACCTATTTCCAACATGAAAAACCTAACCCTATGATATAAATATCGGTACCAAGAGATTTTTGACACCTTAAAGAAAATTATAACAATGTTTAATTTTAAATGATTTTTTCATCTAAATATCAACACCATTTTCTAGCAACATATCGATTATAATCAGTTTCGAAAATCTCGATTTCAATTGTAACGGTAAAAGAATTGTTGCACGATTTTGATATTGTTTTGATTCCCGCAATGTTGCTTTTTAATGCAGATCATTGTAGACTTCGAACAAAAATTTAATCACGTTACGACAGTATAAAGCAATACGCATCAATGTTTCAATAAATATATTGCTCAGTTTATTCATATTTATCTCGCAATTTGAAAACCCTACAGGTTTCGCAATTAGGCAAAGACATAAAGACACTTCTTGGTCGAAATAGGCTTACAAAACTTGGGAGAAGCAATGTTAAATAATAATGTCTTTTTATAATATTAAAAGCTCAATAAAACAACACGTTTTGGGACTAGAGGGGAACAGCGAAATAGTTGGATAATCAGGTGGAGAGGTTCTTTTGAAATCAATAAACTATTAATAAATTACTCAAAATAGGTACTAATTATAAAAAGTTGAAGAAAAGAAACTTGTGTTTTATTATTCTATCCAAATAACGATTATATCCAATAAATCAATTTTGATTCACTGTTGGTTAACATCTATAACCAATGTTTCAAACGTAGACGCTATCACCCCCTCAGCGGACATATAAGACTTTAAGAAGACTTCCTTTAGGATGTGAAAGTAATTTTATTTCATTTTGTATCGAACATGTTCCAATACAAGCGTAAATAAATTACATGTTATTGAACCAGTTATTAATTCAGCTAAGTACATATTGTACTACAAAAAAAAAAAATATTATTTTAGGGAATTTGACGTGGCATTTTTTTCAATTTTCAAAATTCAAACTAATTTTTTTTAATCTTTTATAAATTATTTTGATATTCTTTTAAATTTCTCATGAACATAGTATTACAGTAGCTCGTGATTTTTAAAACAATTTGTTCAAAAGTTATTTTGTAATTATAATTAGAAGTTCACAGCAAAAAAAAAAAATTTTTTTTTATTTTTTGTACGTAAGGGCCATTTCCATAAAAAAAAATTTTTAAAGGAAAGGGTCACCTATAAAATAACTGTTCAGTAGGAATTTTCAATAAATTAATATGATTAAAAATGTACCATACCTTAAATAAAGTATGTAAGATTTTTCTTTTTTAAATAATTTAAAAACATTGGTAAAAAGTTTTTGAAGGGGGTGTTGAAAAAAGTTTGTCTTGCAAGTTGGCGGTGAAAAGGTTGGAACTAATTATCTATGATTATGCTAAAACGTGAGTCGCGAAAAGCTTTTAATGCGTATTGTATAAATGAAGTGTCGCATGATGGAGCATCGGATAATCGAGGTTCGACTGAACTCAGTGCCATCAGCTTTTGAACAATTTTGAGTACGCTTAAAAATTCTTTTGATAAAATAGGGAAGATGAGTAGAGTGAATGAACCTTTTTAATTATTCTTAAACAAGGAGATTTAAGTGTTATCTATTGTCATTTTAGCATGTTTTTCAATTATAGATATTCCATTAGAGATATAATTAAACAAGTTATGATATTTTTAAAGAAGTAATGGTATTCATTCTCCACCCACTTATTAATGCTCGTGCTTTTCGACCTTAAACAGCTAAAATTATACCATTAGATTAAAATAAAAATAAAAATTTTTGTAAAAAAGAAAAAAAATTTCAAAAAAAGCTAACTGTTATGTAAATGCATCAATTATCTCTCCATAAACAAGTATTATTGAAATCCAATTTATACAATCTGAAAACCAATCGAAGTTTAAAGAATTCAAAAATTAGTGGTAGATTTACATCACTTCCCCCCCCCCTTCCTCCCTTTAAATAGCAATTTGCAGAAGTTTATGAGCAATTACTACTCTCTTGCTTTCTTTAAAAATAAAAAAAAATAACTGAGTCCGTAAAAAAGTTGTCTCTAGAAAAGGTTAGATTAGCGAGTTTTAACTTCAAAAAAAATCTAGCCATTGTTTGCTTTTTTTTTTAAATCTAACTACCTACCATATTTAACATTCATGTATTCAAACTAATTTTCACTATTACTATTCAGTAATAATTTTCAATGAAATTTAATTAAAATTATGCCACAGACGTCAATTATTGTAGCAAAATGCAATATAAATTTAAGTATAATATAAAAGCAGCATAATAATTGTAATATGAAAGTAATAATTTACGTACTTAACCAAAATTTTTATGCATAATTCTTTAAATTAAAATTCGGTAGGTAGACATTTTATTATAAATAATTAAATAATTTTTATTAACTCACATCTTATTTTTAAAGAACAAACTTTTTACGAGGCAGTATTGACCTATTCAGTACTCCTTTAAAAATTTATTAAAAACTTAATAAAAGTAAATTAAAAAGAAAAAGATATGTTGAAAATTATCATTTTAATAAAGTATTAGTATTTTTTTTATTATTAGTTTTACATATCTTACCTTTAACTTTTATATTTCCACTGAAACAATTTTTTACACATTGTTTATTTTAAATTTGGAATGAAATGTGAAACAAATAAATTAAGAAAAAACAAAAATGCAGAACATTTTTTATAATATATATTCTACTTATTAATTATTTTATTTATTTATTTATTACAATTTATTACATCAAAAATAGTAGTTTCAAATATTAGAGAGAGAGAGAGAGAGTAGTGATTTTCTTCAGTATTTCGCAAGACTCAAAGAGTTAGGAAGAAATTTTATAAGTTTATTTTTATTGTGCTTATTTTATGTGTTTTTATTAATTTATCATGTTTCTTAAAGAAATAGGGTTAGCTCCCTTATGCATCATATATCTTTTCTGTTCATTCTGCAACTGATTTAATTCTAGATTTGTCTATTAATTTAATACTTGAGGATGGCTTATGGGAGGAATTTTCCCCCAAAACCCCATTTTGGTTGCAGGGGTGTTACCATATTTATAAATTAATCATATAAATAATGTTTTTTTTTTCAAAAAAAAAGTTATTGTATAAATGGAACATCGCAACAATTATTTCTTATGACGAAACAAATATTCAATAAATATCAAAACGCTCGAAAAAACAATGCAGATTTTTTTACATTTTATTTAAAAAATGCAGTGGACATATTTTGTACAAATGTAAGCATTCGATAGCTTACTTTTTCACAACAATAAAAACGAAATTGATTTTTAATGAACAAAACCAAATCAGTTGAGATCAATTATAAAATACATTTAAAAGTATGAACTTCAAAAAATGTAAAATATAAAAATAAAGACCCCTACATAATCTCAGTAAAAATAAAAAAGAGATAATTAACTCAGTAAAATAAATAATTTATCATAATAAGTCCTTCCTAAAAAATAGCACATAAACAATTCAAAAATCACTTTAAATAAGATCGATATTAATAGAAAAAGAGGTAAAAAATACACATAGACATACACATTTAAGTTTAAACATAACATTTAACTGATATATTAATAATTTGACATGACATTGAAATTCAGAAAACAAAAAATGACATTTACCGAAAATCTGCAATGTACACCCATGCATATTCAATTTCTCACCTTTCATTTCTTTCTTCAATATTCTTATTCAATCGAAACTAACTTTGTTTAAAAATAATAATAACGTTAAGAATTGTAAAACTAAATACATTTTGTTAAATAAAATACTTACAAAAACCTGAAGCAAAAGCAATGTGATTGATAGAAATCACATTTCACACAAATAATAACTTCTAACATTTCATACAAATAATCAGTTCATTCATTTTAGACATGCAATCACGCTCTTCATTAATACTAATACTCAAATGATCAAAACAGATCAAGATAAAACAAGAGGCAATTTTGTCATTTTATAACAAGAAAAAGAAGATTAAAAATATAACGGAAATAAATTAAAAAAACTGCGATGTTCCCTTAACTCTTAGAATCTTGATCATAAATCCAAAATTATAAACACTTAAATCTCTTTCATTAAAGACATGTCAACATACTGTAAAACCTTTGAAGGTGAATATGGCAACTCCAGAATTGTTAATTCTAATACTTTTGCTAATTCTTAAATAAATGATATCAATTTTGTACCATCTCTGCATAATGTGTAAAGAAATATTCTACTTTAATTATTTCTTATTTGCTAGCATTTCTATTGGTACTGTAGATTTTTATCTGATTTTTTCATTAAAATCAAATGAATTGCCGACATTGCTTTTTGTTTAATCGCTACCTGTAATACTATGTTTCAGTCAATCAAATTTTAGTCTTGAGGTGGAAAGTGTTAGTACAATCTAAAAGGTGTTGTGTGAATTATATTACTTTTAGGAAGTGTTAAGAGTTCAATTAATTATGAATGTTTTTTTTTATCAAAAAAAAATCGGAAACATTGATTGATGGATTAACGAAGTTTCATTTATAATCAAATTTGCTATTATATCACTAATTAGCAACCCTAATTATTTAAACAATCTCTTATTCAAATTAGGTTTGTTTCCTTCGGTTTCTTTTCATCTTTCTTTTAATCTTCATATTTTTTAGTGTTTTAATTGAATGACAATATAAATTAAATTAAATATAATGCTCCTTTCCAAGTTTTTTTTATTAATAGAATTACGCTTGAAATCAAACTTAAACTTAAAGAAGACGTTAAATTCTGTTTTATTAGGAGAAAATCAGGAACATAAATAGATGGTTTTAGAAAAGTTTCACGCAATTAAATTCGCTGTCAGATAAAATAATTTTTATTAAGAAATAAGTTTTAGAAAAATATTTTTTTTAATTAAATCTATAGCATTTAAGCTTGAACGAAATACGAAAAAAAGAATCATAAGAAAAGAAGTCACAGAAAAATTTAAAGCATTTTGTATATAAAGCATTACTGCATAATGGCCCATAAAAATGTAACAATTACAATTCAATCCTTTGGGTTGCTTTAATCATTCATTATTTTTTAATAAAACGCATCAAATATTGTTGGAAACTACAAAAAGAAAACTACTGAAACTGAGAGTACTTAATTTAATTGGAACTAGGGTAGGCAAACTTAAATGGCACATTATTTCATAAGAACAGATTTATATTTAACACTAAAAATAAGTATTTTTAAACAAACAGTTTTTGTAACTAATACTTAAGTAAAGAAAGAAATGTATAAAAAAAAACAAAACAAAGAAAAAAGAAAGCTAAAAACCTTAAAGAAAAAAATAACACCACCAATGAATTCTAAAAAATAAAGGTGAATCCAAAAGGATAGGGTATACTTTGTGCTATGTCGACTAAATTAAAAAACAATGTAAATAAAGCACATTAGACAAAATACATAAAAACAGGAGAATAATTGCATGCATTGAAAAGAATAAACTGTAATCAAATGTGGCATAAAAATCAGTAAAAAATATATATACCAGTAGCAAAAGGAATACCAGTCAAACTTAATGGTTTGCTTTAGACTTAGATTTAATGTCAATATTCTCACTTAAAATTAATATTTAAAATTTATTATGATTTTTGTTTTGAAAAATACCTATAATAATTTGAATAAAATAGTACATAGTATATAAATATTCAAAACAAAATTTGGTTGGCATTCTATGAAATTAGAGTTGTCAAAAACTTGTTTGGACAAATTCTTTTTCATTAACAGTTTTGGAAGGAAAAAAAACTAAGTAATGCATATTTGACTGCATTTTCAAAAGCAATTTTTTATAGTTGTTTGGCTTACTTTTATTAGGTACATTAAGTTAAAAAAAATACACATAGTTCAGTTCAATTCATTTTATGAATTTAATTTTTTTATTATTTTACATTAACTTCATTTTATTTTATGTACATAAAACATAACAAGACTGCACTTCTTAAATTTTTACTTTACACAAACTTTTCTCTCTGAGAACAAAATCCACACAAAACTATCCATTTCCACAATCACCACTAATGCATTTCTGATTCAGAATCCATATCTTTTCACATAGAACCTTCCCAGGCATTAAAAAGTAACACCAAAAATAGTTCTAGATATAAGTAAATACTTTGGAATGATAACACTTAGTTTAAAAAATTACATAAGGAACAAGCACGAAGAAGGCATAAATAGACGCATTACAGTCCAAATTGTCATTTCTCATCGAAGAGCTGAAGCATCTCTACCATGCTCTCAGATAACAAATGATAAAATCTCTGTGAACTTGTCTGGGGACAGGCATGTTTCGACGAGATGTGGAAAAATATGCGCTGATCTGAAGGAAATATGTAAGACACCCCATAACCATCATCTGACACAGGTCCGAATCCACCGCCAGTACAAACCTATGGAATAGAAGTAGGTTCAATTAAATCATTAAAATAGCAAAAGTTCCCAAATTAGTATTTTAAATAACACCTTTTCAGGCATTAATTATTACTTTAATTTGTTTTCAGTTAATTCAAATAAAAAAATTAATATAAATCAATTTCCAAATTTTTTTTGCCTCAACCTGCAAAGATATTATTTAACAAACTAAAATAATAAAAAAAGTAACTTTGTAAAATAAATGATAAAAATAAGATTTTTGTACAGATTCGATGTTCATGTAGCTATCAAGTCTATATGTCGACAAGAGATTCATTCCTAATAATAGAGTAAATATTAAACAGGATAACCTTTTCGCGCTAACTGTCCTGTATAGTTGCTCTCATTTTCCTGTCAACACGCCAACATACCAGAGAGCATTTTAGTTCACCATCACATATTTGGAACAATTTAAAAACTATAATTTTTAGCACAAGATGGCATTGTATGTCCAATTGATTTGAAACACATGTAGATTTGACCTTCTACTTCAAATGAGTGATATACGACTCACATGCACATAGTTTTTGATAATATAATATGAAAACTAAGGAATGTTTCTGAATCACATGATTCATGACGCCCCTTTAAAATGAACATGTGATGTTTGTTAATAGTAGGTGGGAGAGTTTTATTTTTGCTACAGTTATGTTCATTTGTATATGCAGTCCAGTTTTAAATTGATAACGTCAAATTTCTCAATGACAAAGTGCCGAAAATGTTTAACTGAACTTCAAATAGAAATTATGCTAAATATTTCAGATATTGATTCTGAAACAGACAGTAGTGATAATGACACTATAATATATTCAGTTGAATCGGATCATAAGCAATACATCATGCGAAAACTTTGATTGAAATCCATTTAATGCAACTTTGTATTACGATTTGATATCCAAGCACTTTAATATTTGGAAGTAACACCTGGAACAAATAAATACCAGCATATTCCTAAATTTCATAGTTTGGATAAATTATGAAATTTCATTAATTTGGATAACATATCCATAGCTGTAAGCATTTTGTACAATATAGATTTCAATTGTAAATAAAATTGTTTTTAACGTTCAATAATACAATTCTGAAATTGTTTCCATAATTAATATATACAGGTATATATACATATATATAATATACATACAATGGAAAGTCTGTGTTTTTCCCAGAACTTATCAAAATAAATTTTCAATCATTACTTCAGAAAACTTAGTTTTAAAAATTTTGTAAATAAATACTTACTTTGTCATTAAATATGTGCAAATTTGCATCAGGTAATGCAGTCAATTGAGTATGGGGTGTTTGACTAGTAGATAAAGTCCACGGACGAGTGATGGTTTTATACAAAAAGTCACTTTCCTAAGAAAAATATGTTAACCAAAAATTTAAAGCAATTTTAGTAGATATTAAAAAAATTTATAAACATTAATTATGAATCATAAGCATTACAAATATAATTTTTATTTTTTAACAATTACAAATAAAATAAATAAAAAAAAGGATAAATGATGGTACGACAAATGAAAATATGTATGAAACAGTCTGTTACATAAACTTGTTATAAAAAATTTAACTTAAAAGATATTTTTCTAATTTTCTTTATATTTACTTATTTGTTTCTTCTTGGTGTATCTTATTTAAGATAGACTGATTTATCCAGAAATCCATATTTCATGGAAAATATAAATACATTATGTGTTGAGCAGAAAATCTGAGGTGCACTGCTCTAAGCAGACAGTACAATGTAATAATACTGAGTTTTGCCTTTTTCAAATAAATTAAACTACTGTACAGTCTAATGGGGGGGAGGGAGCATTTGGAAAAAAATTCATTTAAAGATTTTAAAAAAAATTAAAAATATACATAATTTAAGATTCTCAGCTCTCATCTAGGCTAACTACATATACTCATATTTTTCTTATCTTTTTACCTTTATAAATTTTTATATATCTGGCTTTTTAGCATCTTTAGAAGTTAGTTTTGCACTTAACTTGAATAAGAAAGAGAAAGTGATGTGACAAGTATATATGCCACATTAGTATAATTGATATTTTTTTAACTTATTACAAAATAATTTAAATATAGAAACTGGTAGGTTGATGTATTTTCTTAATCTGAACAATTCCAGACATAACATATGATCTAAAAGATACATTATTGAAAGATTTTCTATTCATTATTTCCTTATTAAATATCAATTTGAACAAATAAAATTTAAAAGAGAAAGTTATATTTGGTAACAAAAATATTATTTATTAAATTATATAGATATACAATTTAATAAATAATATACAATACTTTCCATATTTTTTTTATTTATATGCTGTTAAAGAAAAAAGGTGATTAACAACAAAGTTTAATAGTAATTACACAATCAGAATTCAAATAACATTAAAAAACAAATGCACTTAATTGAATTTTCATTACAAACTAACTTAGTATTTCATGAATTTTGTATTAAGCTATATCATTAATTAAACTTTCAAAAGATAAATTTAACCTATTTAAAGATTATTTCTAACTGATTATAAATACACACTTTGATGTGAATCTAAATAAATGTGTGCTAACAGTTTTAATTATTTCTCTACATCAGTCAATTACTTTTTACACTATTATTTAATACTCATAATTAAAAAATATCCTTTTCCCAATAAACTCATATAACAATCAAATCTACTCTTTGCAAGTACTATTATAAAAAGATATACTAAACAACATTTAATCACATCCACTCTTACAAAAAATTATGTAAAAAAACGCTACTTACATAACCCAATCCCTTGCAAGCGACATAAAGAGCAAATAAATGTCTGTCAATGCCTCGTCCATTCATTGCATCTCTGTACATATTCTGGTGCTTTAAAGCTGCTTTTTGCAATAATGACCTCTTCTTTTCTGCAGGGCAATCTTTTTGCTGCATACTCCTAATTATTAAGTTTAATAAACTTATTAAATTTTCAAATTTACATTTGCAATATTCAAATTATATTTGTAAAACACAAATTTCTGATTTATAAGATTTTGGAAAATTTACTTCAATATTGTGTTTGTGTATTTTTCTAATTTATGAAACAAATATATTTTTAATAATACGAGGAGCATGTCCTTTAAAAAATATATTTTTTCCGAGGTTGGGCTGCGATTCCAAAAAATAACAAATAGGTACAGTGCACTAAATAAAACCGAAAAAAAAACTGAAAAAGAAAGATTTATTTGGTAATCTAAAAATTTGGAGTTTCAAGTGAAGTGGAAAAATTCAACATATTTGAAGGGATCAAAAATAGCACCCGTTCTCAAGACTCGCTAGATGTGAAAAGAAAAAGCAAAACAGGTTTGAAATAGGAAATGTAAAGTTATATAGCAGAAAAATGGAAAATAGATAATGATTAATAAAACTAGAAAAGAATCGCAGTAATTAAGAAAAGTAAATCAAGGCAGCATGCATTTCCACACCAAAATAAAGCAACACCAAAATTTTTTCCAACCCTATCACATCAGCTTGATATAAATTATTATTTAGATAAATTATTATTTTTTTAAAAAAAACTTTTATTTACAAATCTGTGTAGGTTTAAATTATAACAACACCCAATATATTAATAAGATTCAGACTAAGAATATTATTATGTTCAAAACCAATTAATATCTGAAGATAAACTTCACTTGGAATAAATGAAATGGAATAAATTCAATCCAGTTTGAAATAATTCAATTGGAAGTAACTTCAATTTCAAAAAATTGAACCCTCCAAGTGTTACAACTGTAAGCCAGACAGAAAAGAACTCTCCTCGCAATACAATGATTCATCATTGAACAGCATCGGATAACAGGCTTTTTATCACAGGAAAAATGTCAGCTTTACGTTTAGGGACAATCAGGATTAATACTTAAAAGGTTAAGAAAATCACAAAAACTTAAAATATTAGTAAGTAGATGTCTATAATATTATAAATGGGCTTTTTATAACAGGAAAGCTAACAGCTTTAAGTTTAGAGACAATCGGGATTAATACTAAGAAGATTAAGAAAACCACAAAAACTCAAAATTTTAGTAAGTACAGTAGGGAACCGATTATCCGGAACGATCGGGACCATCGCTATTCCGGATAACTGATTTTTCCGGTTTTCTGAATCGCTACAGAAAGCCGTTTTTTTTATTGTCAAATTCAACTAAAAAAGTATATTTGGAAATAATCTTGAAAAGAAGAAAAAAACGATGAAGTAATACACTAATGATTGTTTCCAAAATGATGGTAAGGTTAACATCTTTCAAAAAAGAAAGAAAAATCTTGAAATCGTATGAGGAGAAAAACATTTGTTTTTTCAAAAATGGCTGGAAAATTTATCGAATTTCGTTCCGGTTATTTGGTTTTCCGGTTTTCTGATTTCCGGATAACGGGTTCTGTACTGTATAATAAAATAAAACCACAAAATAGGAAACCACAAAATATAATAATCACAAAATAAAAGCACAAAATATAATAAAACCACAAAAACTCAAAATATAAGTCTGTAATATGCACCTTAACATTTTCACAAAGATCAATTTTGGGAACAGAAAAATTAACAAGTAAATGAATTTAATATGAAACCAAACATTTGATACAAAGACTTTTTGTCACAAAAATATTAGTAAGTAGACATCTCTAAAATACCATTAAACATTGTTATGAAAACTATTCACAACAGAAACAATAGATATTTCTAACATGTAACCTAACATAAACAAAGAACTTTGGCAACATTCTAAGTTATGAAAAAGAAAGCAAATATAACTGAAAAGTTTAGTGAGTGACAAATGACAATTTGAACAAGCATATAATTTCTTGTTTTAAAACATATTACAGTCATCTTTATGTATAGAACATAAAAAAAATTCCCAGCTAAGTCATTAATACTGATTTTAATTAAGCTTTGTATTAAACTTCTGACTATCATTTTGTTTTCGAGGGCAAATGTTCCTCAATTTACTAAACTCTCTCATAGAAACCATCTTCCACTAAGTTTTTCAATTTGTATAGATTATCAACTCATTTAACATATTCTTCAGAACTGTATAAAAGAACTTACAAAACAAATTCCTTTGCTTCCATGGTGCAAGATCTTACAGTTTCAGTTCTCCCTCCTTGATATAATCTAGTCATTGATGCCTCATAAGTTTGTACAAATCTTTTAGCATCCTTGTAATAGGCCAATTGCAGGGCTAACTGTACAAAGGCATCAGGAGAAGTCTAGATAAAAAAGTATTATCTTTAAGTTTTTTCTGATTATTTATTTCAAACAAGACTACAAAACAAATATTTGTATGTTAATTTTTTATTATTATGGAGACACCAAAATTTAGTATTAGTTTTATACAATTTAAAGGTAAGTAAATCTTGCATCAAAAGTTTACTTTCTGAATTACTACAAAATATATTTTATTTATCTTTTTATTTACTATTTTTTTTTCCTTTAGTATTAAAATTTTTTTTATTCTATTAAATCAATTGATTACATTACAAATAGGAATATTAACTTTTTATATTTGAAAAAGTTTTAATTATAAAAAGAAAAGAAAAACTTTACCAAAAAAAGATTTGTGGACAAAAAACTTTTAAATTTACTTGAAAAGGAGAACTTGTATTGCTTTTTTTTACTTTATTTTTTTTTTATTTGTTTATTTACTTATTCTCTCTCTCTCTCTCTCTCTTTTCTTTTTTTTCTTTTTTTTTGAAACAGAATTTATGTGATGAAATAAAAATAGAATGGGATACAAAAATTTGTAGGATTTTTCTTATACATGACAGAACCCAATGTATTATTCTTTCGATAGCATTAATAACTCTTTTGAACCTTTAGCACAGATTTTACAGTTACAGAAAATCCTTAGTTATCCAAACTTTAATCAAATTGAATCTTAATGCCAGGAAAAAGTATGAGTGAAACAAGGAATATAGAAATAAAAAGAAAAAAATTGCATTTTACTGCTTAAAAAAAATTATGGAATTTACTTTTTATTATAATAACCATTCACAAATAAATTTATTAAAAGAAAATTGCTTTTAAACACATAAAAAATTAGAAAAATTTGTACAAATCATAAATTTAATTAAATCATGGCATGACAAAAATTTCATTTATCCCAAACATAATCTTACCTTACATTTTTTGATAGCACCTTTTCCAAATTCATTGTGATCCATAACTATTAAATCCAAATCATTATTATTCTGAAATTAAACAAAAAAATAATAGTATTATTAACATAAATAATGTATTACCTAATAATCATAACACAGAGAAGGGATTCTAATTATTCATGAGCCAGTGTGCTTAAACATTTTTCAAAATTTTTTTTAGGAAAAAGAAAAATATTACAGAAATGCAAGAAATATACTTATTTATGAATTTAAAATATAGTCTCATTATGATAATTATTATGCTGTGACATATTTTTAGTTCATTCTTCAATTTAATTTAAATTACAGAAAATTATTTAAGAGACATTGATTACAATATTTTCACTGAAAAATGAAATCTTTCTCAATCTTTTAATGTTTTTAGACAAACTGCACACATATTTGAAACATATATATACACGTTTATATACACGTTTTTATATATACACGTTTATATACACATATATATACACGTTTCTCAATCTTTTAACGTTTTTAGACAAACTGCACACAATTTTGACTCATAAAATAACTTGTCAAAATAATGTTTTTAAAATTAAAGAAATTTTAAGAACGAACCTATTCCGTTACCAGTGTGTACAAGTGGAGCCATAACAACAGACAACAGAATTTATTTAAATATTTAAACATAAACATAATTTATCAGTAAAGATATAGATGTTAAATATCAATGCTTGAATATTCTTACAGTGATAGAAAAAGATACAGCTTCTTCAATACAAGTCTTTAATTCAGGAGATATTTCCCATATCAATCGATAAGGAGCTTTTAATTTAGCTTGTTTAAAAACTCTGCTAAATGGCATACAATAACCATTCTCATCAAACAACTTTTCTAGAACCCTGCAAAATAAAATAAAAAATTGAAATTTTCTTTAAGTAATTTTGAATTAGAGCCAGTTATTTGAAAATTTTCCAGATAAAACATGATATTAAAAACCGTAATATTAACAATAACTTGAATACGATTTAAGATATTTGCATACGTTGACCCGAAACAAAACCTAACAAAGTTAATTATCAAACATGAAAAAAAGTATTCAAATTTGATTATGACTTTCGAAATATAAATTGCCTAGAATATTAATCAACAAGAGGCTTTTAAATTAGAGACAATATAAACAATGTCAGTAATCCTAATGACTAAGACGCAACATGAACAATATCAGTAATTCAAATAACTAAGAGGAAATATGGATAATGTCAACAATCCCAATTACCAAGAAAGAAACTTTAGAAATTTAAATTAAAACAAAACACTTTTAAAGCAATATAAAATTTGAATTTTGAGGGAAATATAAAGATTTAAGACTCTTATGCCGGTGTAGTAAATTATCAGAAATTTTTAAGAATTAAAGATTAAACATTTCATTTTTTTTTAATTAGCATTTCTTATTAAGCTAACAACAAATTACAAAGTAAAAAAGAAATAGTCATAGCTTTCAAAAGTGAATTTCGCTTGCTATGTCCATGTTCTAAATGTCCACATACAGAACACAAAGAAAGAAATATATTCAGATAAGTTTTCATTCTCCCACGATTTAAAAAAAGGGTTGGCTGACACTTTTTATAATACTTTAGCCATTTTTGTTTTTCAATTTTTCAAATAATAATAATTTTTTCAAATTGCATTGGCAGGAGAACACACCAAAGACTGGCAGGTCAGATGTGGCTGACCAATATGGTTGCGCACCTCTACCTATCATATTCTACATTCTACTTTTCTTTAAGTATTAAGGGCAAACCATTATGAAACACCTTTTTTTTCTTTTAAAGTAAACAACAACTACACACAAATTATATTAAATAGCAAACATGTATTGTAATTCAAAACAACTCCTTAAGTACTGGAGAAATATGCATATATAGGCTATAGTCCATTCCACCTTAAGTTGGCACTGGAGAGAAAGGTAGGTAGACCGGATTACATGGAAACTGGGTTACTCTTTAAGTCAGTATGGGATGAGGTAGCAACAAAGGGAGAGAAAGTGGCCAGTATTGGCGTTTAAGAAAGCAAAACACCGATTTTTTTTAAAAAAACCAAGAATCATACAAAATTTTGTACAGAATACGGAAAAGAGCACGATTTTTTAGAGCATTTCTCATAATTATTATTTTTAGATGCTAGTTGTAAGCTGATTTCTTAATTAGTACTTAAAAAGCAGATTTTCTTATTATGATTTTTTAACTAAACGAAACTAATTTTAAACAGAAAAAAAGATATATATTTAAAAATATTCTTTTTTGTTGAAATCTAAGTAAAAAAAATAAAAAAAAGAAATGCATAGATGCGCAAAAATACTTTGTTTTAAATATTTACTTTTTATATTCTTATTCTTATTTTTTGTAGATTAATGTACATTAATTTATCCCACATTGGTGATTTGTTGGGGAAGGAAAAGTCAACATAGGCTGGAAATTATTGATCATGAAAAGGATCATACTTATGTTTTATAATACTTACTGTTTTTTTTTCTTATTATAATTTTTTAATTAAACGAAACTAATTTTAAACANCAGTAATTCAAATAACTAAGAGGAAATATGGATAATGTCAACAATCCCAATTACCAAGAAAGAAACTTTAGAAATTTAAATTATTTAAATTAAAACAAAACACTTTTAAAGCAATATAAAATTTGAATTTTGAGGGAAATATAAAGATTTAAGACTCTTATGCCGGTGTAGTAAATTATCAGAAATTTTTAAGTATTAAAGATGAAACATTTCATTTTTTTTTAAATTAGCATTTCTTATTAAGCTAACAACAAATTACAAAGTAAAAAAAAATAGTTATAGCTTTCAAAAGTGAATTTCGCTCGCTATGTCCATGCTCGAAATGTCCACATACGGAACACAAAGAATGAAAAATATCCAGATAGTTTTCATTCTCCCACTTTCTGGCTGACATTTTTTATAATGCTTTAGCCATTTTTGTTTTTCAATTTTTCAAATAATAACTATTTTTCAAAGTGCACTGGCAGAACACACCAAAAACTGGCAGGTCAGAAGTGGCTGACCAATAAATATAGTCTTCCCATCATATTCTACATCCTACTTTTCATAAGTATTATGGGCAATTAACCATTAATAAACACCTTATTTTTAAAAGTAAGTAACAACTACTATTAAGTAGCAAATATATATTGTAATTCAAAACAACTCCTTAAGTACTGGAAATGGGGACAAAAGGGAAAAAAAGAACAGAAATAATAACTCACTCTCTAGATAGGATATATTCCCACATATGAGCCATAGCAGGGGCATCAGCTATGGTGTGTTCACAATTCAGACCTGTTCCAGCATTGCCAAAAACTATCAAATTGCAAGATTTATCAAACCAAATGCACTTTCCATCTCCATGAAGAAGAAATTTTCCTTTCTCACTTAAAGTGCTTGGAGAATAATCTGTAAGCGTCACCTAAAAGAAGTGTTTAAACAAATTAAATAACTAAAAACACAGTCTGTTTTTTGGCAGCTTGAAGTTAAGAATAACTGGAAAAAAAATATTATTTATACATATTAGTAATTTAAATGTATTTCGAAGAAAAATTTAATTTTAACTTTTTTTGTTTTATTATTTTTTTATAATTGGAACTTAAAATTAACAATATGAATTAACGTAGAACTTTAATAACCTGATCATGTTTCAAAAAAGAGGCATTATGATTTGTCCTATTCACAGAAGTCTAGATGATAAATCAAACTACCAAATCAAAGGAGTGATTCCATTGGACAATAAGTCACAGAAGTTATTTGGCTTATGAGAAAGTACTTTTTTTTAAAACATTTCCAATTGCTGGTCTTTAAATTTAGCATATTAAACCACAAAAACATTTTTTTTTCAAATTAGAATAAAATCTTACAATGAACTTGAATGACAAATGGCTTTAATCTATAGGTGGATCATTTGTTATACAGTGCCCGCCGTTTATTAAAATCACTTTTGCTTTATGCTCTTTTGATTTTATTAAGCGGCTGATTTTATTAAGAGGCAATTCAACATTTGAAGAAGAAAAAATCAAATTTTTTCGATATATTCTAAATGCACACATTTTAAAAGCTGAAATAATGACAACACTAATGCTTTATTTTAACTAATTTAATTATTTTAATAAAGTAAACCCTATATAAGATTATATTTACAAAAGTTTTACAAAAGTTTTGCAAAAACATGATCAATGGTTGCTTGAGTTGCAGTACTTAAAATTAACTTTTCAACATCATTTAAGAGTTTATAGAAGTTTTTATAGTTTTCGATATTCCTCCTCTTTGTTCTAAAGCTTGCCCCAATACATTAAGTGCTTTTCTGACTTCCACTGAAGATGGCACTGATGAGTTTATTTCATCTTCTGAGTCTGATTCCTCCATTTCTTGATTGGAAATAACTTTGCAATTTTTGATGTCTGTAACAATTTCAGAATCAGATTTTTCTCCTGATGTTTGCAGGTTATCGTCAACAGCTACGTAACGTGAAAAATTCTCGTCCATTTCATTTTCTTCATTGCTGTGAATTTTTTCGAAACAGTTATCGGCCCCATCTCCATTGAAGCTTCACGTTGACTACATTTAGGAAGTTTATCATAGTTTTGCAACACTTCAAATATATTTTTCAGACTCAAATCCTTCCTTTCGGCCATGCTGATAAAATTGAACATCAAACGAACTTAAAAATGATATGTGCTCTAACTCTAACTATAATTTACTCAAATGGCTTAAATAATATGGAACATGAGCACAGACAGTTTTTGGAAATCTATTCATGTTCTCTGTTAAGATAGATAACAAAAGAAACTTCTCTCCCCTCTAAGGTTTATTCAATAAAAAGTAAGATAAGAATTCGACCCCCCGTTGAGTGAGAAATGTTTCTCCAAACTTCATTCAAGTCAAGGAAATAACACTGATAAATTGATTTCTATGAATTCGCTGCCTACCACCCACATTTTTCCTTAACTCTTACACTATGTATATCGCAGGAAAGTGCTAACCACACCTGTTTCACAGGTTTGTGAGTAACTGTTGCTTCTTCTAAAAAAATCTTTAAACTTCGAAAAAATAAAATTTTATAAATAAGAACAAAAAAAGCTGAAATATTGCACCTTTGATTTANGTAAAACCCTACATAAGATTAAATTTACAAAATGTTTGCAAAAAAACGATCAATGGTTGTTTGAGTTGCAGTATTTAAAATTAACTTTTCAACGTCATTTGAGAGTTTATAGAAGTTTGTATAGTTTTCGATATTTCCTCCTCTTTGTTCTAAAGCTTGCCGCAATACATTAAGTGCTTTTCTGACTTCCACTGAAGATGGCACTGATGAGTTTATTTCATCTTCTGAGTCTGATTCCTCCATTTCTTGATTGGAAATAACTTTGCAATTTTTGATGTCTGCAACAATTTCAGAATCAGATTTTTCTCCTGATGTTTGCAGGTTATCGTCAATAGCTATGTAACGTGAAAAATTCTCGTCCATTTCATTTTCTTCATTGCTGAGAATTTTTTCGAAACAGTTATCAGCCCCATCTCCATTGAAGCTTCACGTTGACTACATTTAGGAAGCCTATCATAGTTTTGCAACACTTCAAATTTATTTTTAAGACTCAAATCCTTCCTTTTCGCCATGCTGATAAAATTGAACATCAAACGAACTTAAAAATGATATGTGCTCTAACTCTAACTATAATTTACTCAAATGGCTTAAATAATATGGATTATGTGCACAGACAGTTTTTGGAAATCTATTCATGTTCTCTGTTAAGATAGATAACAAAAGAAACTTCTCTCCCTTCTATGGTTCATTCAATAAAAAGTAAGATAAGAATTCGACCCCCTGTTGAGTGAGATAGGTTTCTCCAAACTTCATTCAAGTCAAGGAATTAACATTGATAAATTGATTTCTATGAACTCGCCGCTTACCACCCACATTTTTCCTTAACTCTTACACTATGTATATCGCAGGAAAGTGCTAACCACACCTGTCTCACAGGTTTGTGAGTAACTGTTGCTTCTTCTAAAAAAATCTTTAAACTTCGGAAAAATAAAATTTTATAAATAAGAACAAAAAAAATGAAATATTGCACTTTTGATATATTATGTAGTCAAAATTTTGATTTTAAAAAGCGGCGGCATTGATTTTATTAAAGGATGTTTTTAACATGTATTAATAATGTAACGATTCGGTTCTTGCCGATTTGATTTTATAGAGCGGCTGATTTTATTATCCGTTGATTTTATTAGCGGCAGGCACTGTATCACTAACATAATACTATACAACTGAAATTCTCTTGAAAAATTATAAATATTGCAAATAAATATCCTTTTAAAAAAGTTAAATGCATAGTGTTGGGCCGGGATAGCCTGGTCGTTAGGGCGCTGGGCCCATATCCAAGAGGTCGTGGGTTCGATCCTCGCCGGCCGAAGACTCCTCGTGTAGTAAATGGTGACTGATGCACGTTAAATCTGTCGAGTCTCAAAGTCCTCCATGTTCCCACAACAAATCAATACCTCTGGGGGTACTGATCCAGGAGTTTCCTTGTCTTCTGGATTGGTTCAAAATTACCCGTAATTACCCGTAAACCCATGAAATTGGGTCGGCTGTTCAACGACGGTTATAAAATAAAATAAAATGCATAGTGTTAATGTTATATACCTAGTGTTATCTAAAATGCTAAATTAAGTTTTCAAAAAATATAAAGAAATTTATAATGCCCTAAATTTAAAGCATCATATGAGAATCTTAATTATTGAAACTTGGAAATCTGTGAAGAAAAAATTTTTAAAAATGCATACGTCAAATAAGACAGGAAATAAGTTATAAAGTCGAATCTTTCAGAATAGTTTGCAAAAAAATAAATAAATCAGGTTTATTAAAATATAGACATGTTATTAATTTGGCATTCAAACATAATTTTAAACATTATATACTTGAGAGCGTTCAAACACAGTATCATGATTGCAGTATCATGATTCCACAACATCGTGCCATGTAACTATTTTAATTTTGAAAAAAAAAATAAAATAAATTCAGAAGTACCAAATCAATTTAGGGATAATCAACAATCAGTTTGATTAATCAATTTGATAACTCTATAACAAAGCATGTTTTAAATTTCAGACACAACTTCTTAATTACAAATATAACAGCCTGAGTTGAAGTATGCTTACAGTGCTACAATTCCGAACCTAATATTTTTTAACGTAACTAATGTATATACAGTGGAACCCCGATTTTACGTTGTCCGTTTCGTACGTTATCCCGCTTCTTACGTCATTTTCTGNATAAAGATTGAAGTAAAAAACTGTAACAAAAACAGGTGTCATGACTAAATAAATGAATTACTAACTTATAATTTAATATTAAAAAAAAAGTTTGCAATATATTTTAAATATATGTAGCTCTGAATGTAAGAATTGAAGCCACGACACTCATTTTATAAATGTGCATATTATTTCAGCAATTAAAACTTATTTACTTTTTAAAAAAAATAAGGAATTACAATACAATATTAGAAAATTACATTCAGAATTACAATATTACATTCAGAATTACAATATTAGAAAAGAATACAACATTTCATAAAAAAATATTAAAATAAATAGAAATCGGTACCATACAGCACAGAATAACACTATTTAGTAGCTAAAAAAAAAACTAAACTCAGTGTCTAAAGAATATAGAAAAAGATTGCTTACACAGAAAATTGCTTTTTCAACTGCTCTTCGACTATCTCTATTCACTCCTGAACTCAAATGACTTTTTCGTATAGTCGCCCATTGACTTCTTTTTAAAGCAGTTAGAGCAGCAATAGATTTTTCAGCTTCAGAATATGACTCTGAAATAAAAATAGGGATTAGTTTTAGAAACCAATGGATTAGTTTTATACTTATTACAAAATAGAAAAAAAAAACTATTTTTAACTACAGAATTAAAAATAAATACTTTAAAAAGATCAACTACCAAATAAACAAACACTAATGGTTTTTAAAAAAAAAAAAAATTATGAGGCTTTGTTTTATTAAAATCATATTATAACTTCCTAAGATTATTCAAAGTTCCTAAAATTGATCCATTTACTCAAACTTTCATCAGAATGTAACCATTTTTATCTATGACAACTTATTTAAATTCAATTATAAGTAAATCAAAATAAAAAGAAAATATTTTATTCTAGAATCATATAAAAGAAGCCATCAAAAGTGCAACAAATAATTGCTATTTTTTTTGTACAGTTTCCACTCTACTCTACACCTTGTTAAAAAAAAAACAATTAATTAAATCAATGAATTTATTGTAAATAAAAAAATTATTACATGAATAATCCAATGAGGTTGAAAATAAAGCATTATAGCAAAAGTAATGCATACAAACTTTTTATACATTAAAATTTCAATTGTTACTCTCCATATAATTGTTAAATAAAAAAAGAAATTTAAAAAGAAAAATTTTTAAGTTTTAAAATCTAAAGATTCAGAACTAATTAGATTTTACTAATTCTAAAAATAATTTAGAAAAATCTGCAAAATTTAATCACTAAAATCAAATTTATGTATTAATATCAACGAACTTCACAATAATCTCTGTAGAACAAAAAATACAATTACATATAAGCCTAGTCCGATAATAAAATTAATGCAACCATAATTTTAAAATCTTTCAAAAAAAAGTTTATTTAAAATATAATAAAAATAAAATGCCTAAAAATCATTTTTTTTAAACATAGTATCTATATATATTTTCTCTTACACGGGGACAAAAAAAGTAACATTACAACTCCCCGAATGGCAAAGCTAGAAAATCAACCAATGATTGCCGCTAATAATGTCACATGCCAAATCTACTGAGGTGGCTCAACATATAGCGCTTTTAAAAACGGAAACTGAAATAACCAGAGAGAACTGAAATAACCAATCTCATACTATTAAGCTAGGCAGAAGTGAGTAGTCTTTGTCGATAGATCTCTATTTTAGTATTTTGTCGAAAGCGTTTTCGATTTTTGATTTATATCACGAATTTATTTGTTTTATCACGAATTCATTCTAAGACTTATACTTATGTTTTTAACAAAGTTCTGAATCGTTCATGGTTATTATTTTTTAAAAACATAATGCTTTGTTTATGCAGGTTTTTTCATTGCAATTCTCTTATTTCTATTTTTAATAGACTTAATTATAGCCAAAATTTTAACCTTTTTAAAGAGATATCAGTTTTAGAAATTTTATCTTAAGATTTTATACTACAGCACATTTCTAATAGGTTTAACGAATTACATGTCATTTATTTGAATTAAAATTTATGTTAATCACTTAGTATTTACTAAAAAGATGCAATTTTTTTTAAAAAAAAAAGTTGTTATATGGATTTGAATGATTGTTTTGAATTCTTAGAATCTTGTGCTTTTGCAATGTACCTGAGTTAGTAGCGAGTGAAGCGAGCTTGGTTTGCGAAGCAAACCATATAAGATTGTGTAGCAATTTTCGGGGGTTAGCGAGCGTCATGGGTGCAAGTTGAAAAAAAGGCCAAGACTGAAAATGTTTTGACTGAAATACCTAACATACACAATACCCCCTCGACATATGCAAACTCTCTAAGAAAGCTTTACCATAATACATCAAGTTTAAATACTGTACAAAAAATATTTATTCATCTGTCTTTTGATAAAATAACAACAGGACATTAGAAATTAGACCAATAACGTAGACTTAAAAAATATTTTTAAGGACAGAAGAAAAAAAATTCAGATTTCCGACTTTGAGTCAGTCTTGTTTCCGTCTTACTTACCGACATTTACCATTACCGACATTTTCGAAAGACGGAAATCCGTCCTGGGGACGGAAGACTTGCACCCATGGCGAACGTTAGTGAGCAGGGGGCACAGCCCACTAGTATTTTTAAAAATTTAAGTACAGAAAAATCTACAGCATTGAATTATATATCCAAAAAGTATAACAGTTTGATTGTTTCTTTTCGAGTAAAAATTCTATAAAAGCTTTAAAAATATTGAGTATTTGTATGTTGCACTCTTTCTAAAATGGTGAAAACTTAAATGTTTTACCTTCGAATATTTCAGTTGATAAAAATCTGTTATCAATACTTGATTACAGTTACAAAATTTTGAAATTTATGATAAACAACCTGATTGTTTCTCAGCATCTTTCACAATCCAATTGAGTTGCTCTTCTAATGTTGTAGGAGCCAAAATTTGATTTTTGGAATCAAAAACTTCAAGTTTATAATATATTCCTTTCACAATAACAATGATATGCTATAAAAAAATTTTATAAAATTATTGTTACTAAATATTGCTATTACATAAATAGACATAACAAGCTTGATAAATGGTTTACCTTTGAATCTTCAGTGTGTAGAATAGTGTCATTATTTTCACCAGGAATTCTAAAGAGAAAATATATATATTGGTCAGTTATTACTAATTATGAACAATATTATAACAAATAAACAGTGGCAGTTCACAATAAATTTGATTTTTTAATGTGAATAATTTATATAAACGAATTTTAAATTGCAATTTGCGATTCTACTGATAACTTAATCATGATTTTAGGAGCCTGATTTTTAGAAATCAGAAGCGAAATTGATAAATTTACTGTTTGTGTTGAAACGATTGTACAATTTAAAACAGGTGGTAAAACAAACATCACTCAAAGAGAAATTTTCAACTTGATGACGATTACTGAGCTGTATGAGAATAAAACTTAACAACTTGATGCGAATTACTGAGCAGTATGAGAATAAAACTTAACAAATTTATGACAATTAGTGAGCAGTATGAGAATAAAACTTAACAACTTGATGACAATTACTGAGCAGTATGAGATTAAAACTTAACAACTTGATGACAATTACTGAGCTGTATGAGAATAAAACTTAACAAATTGATGACTATTACTGAGCAGTATGAGAATAAAACTTAACAACTTGATNAAATAAATGCCCAGCATGATCTGAAGCACAAGTTGGGAAGGCACAAATTGTTGTTTTTTTTCCTCTATCTTGCACTAAATAGAAAAAAGCAGGAGAAAACACCCTGAAGGCCTGAGGGCGAAGATTTGAGGCAAAAGCAGGAGACTCCTGCTAAAAACAGGAGAGTTGGCAGGTCTGGGAGCCTGATTTTTAGAAATTAGAGCCGAAATTGATAAATTTACTGTTTGTGTTGAAACGATTGTACAATTTAAAACAGGTGGTAAAACAAACATCACTCAAAAAGAAATTTTCAACTTGATGACGATTACAGAGCTGTATGAGAATAAAACTTAACAACTTGATAACAATTACTACTGAGCAGTATGAGAATAAAACTTAACAAATTGATGACAATTACTGAGCAGTATGAGAATAAAACTTAACAACTTGATGACAATTACTGAGGTGCATGAGGATAAAACTTAACAACTTGATGACAATTACTGAGGTGCATGAGGATAAAACTTAATAACCTTAAAACCATCAGCAAAATTCAATTAAAACTTGAGGTTGATTGCAGGGCATGTTTAGAATTTCTTTAAATGTTCGCTCTCTTTATTGTTGCTCATCTCTTTATCGTGAAAATTTAAAAAAGCAGTATTTTTATGCAGATGTTATGTTAAAAGCATTGATTTCTCAGCAAGTTTGAGAGAATTATGTTATTCTTCTGAGCTATATTATAGTCATTGATGGCAAGCATATCAGACATCGTAAAAACTAAATTTGCATAACTGTTGTTATTTTTAAATTTTGCACAAAACATTTTTATCTCCGTAATTTTTTTAAATTTTATTTTTTATTACTTCAATAGCAGTTATCCTATAACTAAATGTAGATTTATAAAAAAAATGGAAACTAGTTTCTTAATTAAGTTCTGTTTTGAAATTTTGCAACTACTTTGACAAAAGCAAATTTAAAGCCTACAGCTGATAGATAGCCAAAACAATTGACCATGTTTGAATGTGTCTTTGTCAGTTAAAAATCCTACTTAATATGAATACATTGCTCTGTCCTTCATTTAAATAATGCAACAAAAAAATGTGAAACTGTAGAAATTTACAGTCAGACCAGTGTGTGTTGTGAAAGCCTAATCAGGGCTACAATTTATAGACCAGCAATCAATGTAAATGAATAGTATGGTGTTTTGATTTTTGGTTTCATGTTTTTATTACAAAAATGCATATTTCACTCCGATTCTGACATTGCACATTCGCTGTATTATAGTTTTTCCTTTAAATTCCCTTAATTAACTTTTTTTTAAAAAAGAGAGACAAGAGAGCAGTGAAAATGAGTACCAACTATTAATATCTTTTGTTAACTGGTCCTGCAGACCAACAACTAAATATTCTAATTTCTACTCCTGCTTATAAGCACAATAATAAAATTATGCATGAATTTACAAAAATAAAAGGAACACCTAGATATAGATACTAAATTAAAATCTATACAACCCTGAAATTTTATACTTCATTACAAAATTTAATTGACTACTTGGAACATATGTTCGAATTTTTCGTTAAATTATAACTAGCCTCTGTTGCTTTTTTATCATCCTACCTTTGAATGACTAAAAAATAAGTTTTCACAGCATTTCAAATTTATTCTTTTGCTTTTTAAGTGAGAAGATTAAGTTTCAGAATAGCTTATTAAAAATGGAATAGATAGGATTCCTTACTTTTTTTAATTTTTTGTTTCTAGTAAATAATTTTTGCCTTTTTTTTTATAATTGTTTTTAGAATTGTTTAAGGAGTAGAAAAAAATTATCATTGATTTGGCGCAAACGAAAATTTCAAAACTCTTGATAATAGAGGGGGGAAATAACTATTTTAAACAAAAATTCTCAAAAAATTTAATGTTTCAAAACTGTCTAATGTAAACTAAAACTCTCTAAAAATGTCTTTCAAAACTCTTGATAATAGAGGGTTAAAATAACTATTTTAAACAAAAATTCTCAAAAAATGTAATGTTTCTTACTCAACCGTAATAAAGATAAACTAGAATAGTTGGCCCCTCTGTGAGCAAGAAAAAGATTAAGAAATTGGGTGCCAGCATGTGGGTACAAGACGGCCCCATATGGAGAAATTTAAACCAAACAGCAGAATTCTGTGAGAATGGAAATTATGTTAAAAAATAGATTAAATGTGAGAGCTTTTTCGCAAAAATAAAATTGGTCATAAAAAGGAAGCTTGTGAATTTTCAATTTGAAAACAATACTCATTTTCAAAAAATTATAAAAAGCAAACAAAAAACCTAACAGGTAAAGAAAACCATTTAACAAGAAAATATAAATTTATAAAAAAAAACCTTCCAAAGTTACTTTTTTTTCTTTAAATGTCTTATCTCAATTACTAACTTAAATCTTTGATTTATAGGAAAGTTAAACACAATAAATGAATCAATTAGCGTATGCTACCCTAAGTTATTCTCAATAAATGGTGTTCCTTTTAAATCTTCACTCGCTAAATTCCCGATTAGAACAATTTTCAAAAAAAGTCATTAAGAATTAAAAAATATGTATTGCCTTCATAATACTTCATGATAACAGTGTGAAGTAATTATAATACACTTTGGGAACCAGGAATGAATCAACAAAGAGTATAGGGGGGGCATATGAGAGGGTAGCAATAGCAACTATCTAAAAAGTAGATAAGTTTGAAAACAATACCATACCTAAAAGCTTTTTTATTTATTACTAGATTTTTATCCTTTCTTTATACATAAGCTAAGAGTTCTCAATAAAAGAACTGTTGAAAAAGATCTGAAAACCATGAAAATCAATAAATGGAGAAACCTAGTGCCTGATCAAGCCAGATGGAGACGACTGGTTAGGATGGCTCTGGCATGTATTAGGCTGTCATGCTGATGGAAGAAGAAGAAAGTTACAATTATTTTATTGTCAGTCTTTAACAAAACCTTGCAGAATTCCTCTCCCTGATTTTGTGGCTAATTGTACCCATATAGAATGCATACTAAAATAAAATTTAGATCAAAATTTAAATCTGAAATATTAAGTCTTTGATGATACCAAGCACTCGAATATGATGGACAGTTTTATGGTTTGTCTAACACTTAATTTACTTTCCATTTCACTGAATTTCGTAATTTGAAGAAAAAAAGTCAATTGCTGAAGACTGATGTACAACAAAATAACAAACTGTACAACAAAATAACTTTTTCCTTATTTCATAGCCATAATTTTAAATTGATAAAATAAACATTATTTAGTCATGACGTACAAAATATACAAGCAGTTTTATATTTTGAGCAACAGAAATGTTTAAAACAACTGCTATAATAGAAAATTCTACTTCTATGTAGTTAGTTTATAAGTAATTAATTTGAGCAATAAAACCATTATCAACTGTCTTAAAAAGCAACTTAAAATCAGTAAATGGAAAGAAAAAAAATGGCTACAAAATATTTTAAATATTAAAAGTTTCAAAAAATGAAAAGAGAAAAAATACAGCACATTTAACCATTAAAAAAAATCACATTTCCGATTTAAAATATTTCTAATTAAACAAACTATGCCAAGTGCTAGCCCGAAATATTTATTTTGGTTAAAAAGAACGAAACAATTGAATTTTAAGAAACCAATTTAAATGAAGATATTGAACATGTACCTTACAGTTCCTAGCAGTTTCTCATACTGAGCCATACATATAGGAATTGTATTTCGAATTACAAGAGGTTCAAGTTCTTCTCGGTCAATTAGTCTTTTGAAGGAACAAAGACCATAAATTAATGATGCAGTCCTAAAACAAAATTACAAATCATTTTATGAAATGTATTATATCCTAATATATGAAGTTTGAAAAAAACAAAATACAATCATGTAAAATACAATAAAAATTAGGGTCACATTTTTGAGTCAACATGAACTTAATAAAAGACATTTAGAAAATTTATTTTAGCAAATTTCTTCCCTTATTTTATCAAGAATGCAAATTAATATTTAAATATATATTTGTTATTAAAATAAAGTAAACATTATGAAAGTACAGTTATTAAGCATAATTATTATTTTTTTATTTAGTGGTAAGTATGTAATAATAATTTAATAATTTTATTAAGAAATATTAAGTATTTTAGTAGTAATATAATATTGTTTTTAGTTGGTATTAAGCATTAGTATTATTAATAAATTTTATCAGAACTTTGATCAGTAAATAAAAAGAAAAAATTTAATTTAAATTTTTTTTGTCAATCCTGAAATTAATGATCTTTCCATTTTAAGGTTTTGTTATCTCTTTATCACTGAAGTTTATATTATTTTATAAAGTTGTACACATTTTTCCGAATATGTATTAACATTAATTTCATACAGTTGACTTTACAATTGTTTCATTAGATGTTAATTAAATTGCAGGGTATTATTAAGACATTATCTGATATTCAGTTAAGATTGAAGTTTAGTTTCCATATGCTCTAGTCTGTATTTTTAAAACATCACAGAAATCTCACAACTGTTAAGTCAACTGAGATCAATGTTATTATTAGTACCAAAATATTTCTCGATGGCAACAGCTCATTGATCAGATTACTGATCAAATTTATTCTTTTTTTCCTAAGAAATGAACTTAAGGTTTATAAATATTATGACTGGAAATTTAACAACTAAAACCTTTAAAACAAAGTTGTTTTTTTAATTTGATTGAACATGATCAGTTTTAAGAGTATTTTATTTTATTTAAATTTTTTTAGTTAGTCAGAATCGATAATCGATCTTTAGTTAGTCAGAATCGATCGAAAAATTAATTAAACAAAAATTAAAAAGTTAACTGAAAAATTAATTAAAAGAAATTAATTAAAAAATTCATATTGTTAGCTGTTACAAACTCACCGTGACACTTGTTTATCTGTAGGAGTCCAGTAGCATTCATCACAGCAATAATAATTACTATTATTTGGAAGGGGGCTCCTGCTCATTAGATAGGCATATTTCTCCCTATAGTATTAAACATAATAAACATTAGTCTCAAAAGTAAACATATTTCAACAATATAAATTAATATATCTAGTTAATATAGACAATATTTTTTACTCTATCAGTTGCAATAAAATTGAAAAGTTCATTCATTGAATTTGAAACATCACATTTTGTAATATAGTGGAATAGTGGAAAATTATATTTTGTAATATAGTGGAATAGTGGAAAATAGTGGCTCAAAAATATAGTGGAAGGGGACTCCTGCTCATTAGATAGGCATATTTCTCCCTATAGTATTAAACATAAAATACATTAGTCTTAAAAGTAGACATATTGCAACAATACAAATTATTATATCTAGTTAATAAAGGCAATATTTTTTACTCTATAAAAAGAAGTAAAATTGAAAAGTTCATTCATTGAATTTAAAACATCACATTTAAAATTACATTTCCAAATTTATAATTTTCAATTTGCATTTACAAGTACACAAGTAAAGTAAAATTGAAAAAAAAATTATATCTAATAATATGTCTTGCATGAAATGCAAATAAACAGAAGGATGATTCTTGATTTGTTTAGTCTTTAATTTCTTTTCTTCAGCTCTTAATATTTTGCTTCTCATTAAATAATGAATATTGAAATTTTAATATTTTATCTGTGAAAATACTTGCACAAATCTGTACAAAAAATTCCCTCTTAAACAGAATAAAACAGAATAAGTTGAAGAAAGGTTAGGGGGGGACGGGGTAAACTTGATTGCTCTGCAAAAATGCAACCAGATCACATTCAAATTGAGCTTAAGGCTAACAGAAATTCAAATGGCTATAATATGGCAGAAATTCAAATGGCTATAATTATAAGATGATCATTTTATTCTTTGATAAGAAATTAGACTGAATGCTTTAAACCTAACTAAATTTTCAACATATCAGACTAAGTAAATTAGTTCAAGTAGCTAATGTAAAGAATTGCACATAAAATAATACTTACCACCAGTCACTTACATAATTCTGACAAAACCACGACTTCAGAAGCAATATATTTTGCAACTTATGGGCCAAGGTATTTTCAAACTCCTATAGTAAAAAAAGAGATTAAAATGTAAGTTATTCAAGACATTATAAAAATTAATTAAGAGCAGCATTCAACTCTTATTAATCTACTACTTAAAATGTAGATAATTTGGTTTTGCAGATTTTTAACAACAAAATATTAAGACCATTGCTCAAGGCACACTATTCAAAAGAATCTTTCAGCCAGTGCACCATCTGGTTTTTTAAACTGTAAGATATACACTGATATTAAACTCTGTGATCCACGAGGTGAAATATCGTGGTGAATTGCCTAGATAGCTTTTAAAGCCTACTGTGAACAATTCGGGCATGCATCAAACAGCATTCTCATCCTTGTTAGAATACATGTATTCCCTGAAAAGCAGCACGTAAAAAGCCATATTGTTTCAATGATATATTCACTTTTGCATGAAGACGTGAAAAAGCAGCCCAAACAATTAAAAATGCACCACAACTTTACTCCACAACTTTGTGGAGCATGCACTGCACTCAAACTGGAGCATAAACCCATCTTCAAGAGCGACTTATATGACCGAGCCACTTTTTACCAGTCATCTATAGCCCCACCAATATGTTAACTATCCCAAGAAGACATGGATGTTAATGGTGCCAGGCAAGTATAGGTACTCAAAATGGCATAGCCAATGAAACAAAATTATGTTGTTCTCTCCACTGGAACACATGTTGTACAATTAACATTGTTAATTATCTCTTAACACTTGACACACACAACTCCAGTTCTAATCATTTGAATGGCAAGCACATTGCACGCATAGGTAAATTATGTCTAAAAGAATATTATTTTTCAAATAAGTGTGAAACTGTGAAGAGGAATGTGGAATTTTATTTCAATATTTTAAACACTATGCCTGATGTGTTTTGCGCCAACTACTGCTTTGTATTAAAAATCATTCAATTCCCATATAGAAGACATATTTACATTGTTATTAGACTGTTACCACTAGATTACGAAAAGCAACAAGAAAGCCCTAATAATACACTGGCTACTTATACTTTGCTAAAGCAGTATCATCATCATCTGCACATTTAAATTCTGCGATCCAATAACTTTCATCAACAAATGTATGTTGAATAATTGGCTTTGGAAAAAACTATAAAGACTAAACTGCATGCTGCTAATGAAAACAGATGAATATTTAAAATATTGCTATAAATTGAGCCACAATAGTCAGTTAAAATAAGATATAAAATTAGATTTATTTGAAGATTACTAGCAATTGGGAGTTATAAAAAAGAAAATTCCTGATGAAAATATAATTTTAATTGTAATTAAAATCAAAAGCAATATTTGACAATATCAAGTTTCCCAACAAAGTATATTCTTGAGTAGCTTGCCAGTTGAGAAATATAAATATGTAACTAAATAAAAAGAAGCATTTGCATAAAGTATTGTTTTTAAAAAGTATAAAATAAGCAATTATTTACACTACCTTTCCTTTTTGTTGAATTTCCTTTAATTCTTCATCAGTACAGAGAGGTTTTAGTGATTCATAAAGCCTATTCAGTGTGTCTTTAACAGGAGGTACTGGCAACCTAGGCAAAGATCTTTGGCAACTGTAAAGAGATGGCTTATAACCACTGAGGAGTTTCACAGCTCCGCACCACAGAGTTGTTGCTATTGTATGACTACGAGGATTTTCATCTAAAATATATATGTATTATTCAATGCAAACTCAAAAATCTGTGAATTTAAAAAAATTTATCGAAAAATTAGTTCTAAAAAACAATAAATGACAAGGAAATGCAGAATCAAAGTAAACTTATTAAAGCTAATCTTCAATTAAAATAAAGGAAGAATTTAAAAAATTTTTGATATTACTTTTCACAAACTATTTTTAAACAGAATACAGCAGAATAGACTTATACACCAAAATGATACTTCTTTAATAAATCTAATTTTCAAAGTAGCTAATTTTTTACAAAAAATAAATTTAAGTTAATTTTAAGCTTCTAATGAAAACCGATACTCAAGTAATATGTTAAGATATATAAAGATGACAAAAAAGATAGCACAATGCTGCTATATCTTAGTTTAAATCTTATACTAAGATACTTACACATCCATCCTCTGTAAGATAATAGGAGCCTCAGGAAACTTTGTCTTAGTATCATTAAAAATATAAATGCAAAAATCCCAATTATGCTTGAAACAATAAGAGCTTGAAGAGTACGAGGTAAGCCTAAAAAATAAATTACGAAAATAAATAATATAAACTCTTATAAATTTCATTAAAACTAAAAAAAATATTGCTCTACTGTGAAATCTGTCAAGCTAACCTTTTTTTTATCAAGTACTGAATTTATCCCATTCATTCTCTTGTAACCTTAACACCTGTCTATTTTGTATGTCGACTACTGAAATACATTAAGTTAATGAATCTAATGTGCAAATCTAAAATAAACCCTTTATAAGTTGACCAAAAAAAAAAAAACATTTCAATGAAATTTTCTACTCTGTTATACATTAGAATTTCACTGAATTGATGAATTATTATTAAAATATCTCTAACCGAAATCCTTTCATTTGTTAATTACACGAGAGAGCAATTAAGTATGCTTATATATATTTTTAACAATTTTATTCATTCCTTTTCTATTGTTCTTGTTAAGGTTTTTATTATATAAGCAACAGTAAGGACGAGAGATGATTTTTGTAACAAATATTTTTGTAAACATAGCTAAATAAAGATTAAATGTTGCATTGAATATAATACTAAATATCCTAACTTCATATCTCCTTCTGTACTGATATTTTAAGACATTATTTATGTTTTATTTTATAACTGGCATTAAACAGCCAAGCCAATTCTGACTTTAAAATTATCAATTTTCAACTCTGGAGTCTTATAATTTTGAACCCAATCCAGAAGACAAACGAGCTCCCGGATCAAACATTGGGACAAATTAGCCTTCGTGGAGGACCTTTTGATGGAACTAACCCGCATTTACTTTATAAGGAGAGAAAATGCATGAAAACCTCCCACAGTTAACCTGACAACAAGTGCATTATAACCCATGATCTGTCTACCACCGAGGATATTTTACATCAGCACTGTGCCATGTGCGAGCTGGGAGCAGAATTTGTATTGACCAACTGATTCTCAGATTCAAACCTAGGTCACGTCTTTGGGAGATGAGAGTTCTATTTTCGAGCCACAGTGGGTAAGACATTATTTATAGTAAATAACTGGCATACATCACTAATAAAATATGCATTTGCATTTTTAACTAATCAGTTTAACCCTTTGCTTTCAGCACTTAGTACGGTAAATTCTGTCCTTTGGTCCAGTTACTATATCATGCAAAAGCGAAATATTATTTCATGTTAAATTTATGTAACAAATAATAATTCCTGTTGTAATTATTCTCATTTCTTAAGATGTATAGGATATTTCTTGAATAAAATTTTAAAGTCAAGTTTAAAAAAATTTAATTCGATATTTTGATTTGTAATTATAAAAAGAACGTAAGAATAACATGCATAAGCAATGATATATCCTATTTAAAAAAAAAGACTGTTTAAGTTGACCACTTGTCTACGTTGGTCATCAAAACAGTGATCAACTTTCAAAGGTTTCACTGTTATATATATATATATATCAGGGCTCGAAAAACAGCCCGTCCGTCCGTCAACGGTCAAAAATTCTCCGCGGACAACGAATTTTTCGAATCCGACGTACGTGCGGACGGCCNGACTGTTTTAGATAGCCTCTCTGTAAATAAATTAAGCAGTTTTGGTCTGCCAATTTTTGTGTAAGGGTTGAAAACCTGTGAAGAGGGGCAGGAGAGAGGTGAGGAAGAGAGGGGAAGGACTGGACTAGCTGCTAGAAGAAGAGGAGAAAAAGATTTTTGGTAGAAAATTCTGAGGAATAAAGATACATCTACCCGGAAAGAATGGCTGCAACAGGACTGAACAATTAAGATATATCCAGCGAATAATATCCTGCCACTTACAAATAGTTCATCAGCTCCTCAACATTTTTAATTTTGTTATAACCAATAGTTGTTCCTTTGTCCATTCAGCTAATTTTGCTGTGGTTTCCAAGGATTCAAAAAAATCATTATAATTTTGATCATTTAAGGTGGGGATCAAAGACAACAAAAATGGGGATTTCAAACCTTCAGNATCGTATCTCACAAATTTAATTAATCCTTCACTATTTTAATCAACTATTGGTACACACAAATTATATTTATAACAATGCAGGTGATTGATGCTGCAGTTGATATTCTAATTGTTATTAACTCCGATAATTTAATTGGCTCTGTGATCGCATCGAATTTTTCCGAGTATATTATTCTGACATCTTTTAAGCAGGGCTCGAAAAACAGCCCGTCCGCCCGTCCTCGACGGTCAAAAATTCTCCGCGGACAAGGAATTTCTCGAATCCGACGTCCGTGCGGACAGCCATTTTCCCGTTAATGTTCGTGATACATTTTCAATTTTTTTTATCTTACAAGAGTCTTGTAAGTTACAAGACAGCAAAATGACCCACAATACAGCAACATACTGTGCATATATTGACGTTTTCTCTGTCTGGGAGTACTGCAGCGGTTGAAAGGGGCTTTGCAGCAATAAACCTACAAAGAAACACAATACGTACTGGTTTTAAACACGAAGCTTTAAAAGCAATTATGAACATCTACCTAAATGAAAAACCCCTTTCAGATTTCTGTTCAGAAACCTCTGTAAATCATTGGCTTGATTGTGGAACTGGCAAACGTCATATTTGATTCATTTAAAATATGCAGTACCCTCGGATAACTTGACATTCCAGATAACTTGACCCTTGTTATTCAAATTATTTCATAAAAGAAATAGTAGGTTACTATTAGTAACCTAGTATTTCTTTTATTACTGTATAATGTAATCCTAGTAACGACTAATTCATTGCGCAATTTATATAAATGTTTGTAATAAATAGGAGAAAATTATATTTTTATTTATTTAAAAGCGACGGGTTAGTTTCAACGGAGGACGGGTGCATTGTTGGACAAGCCGACCTCGGGGACTGGTAAAATTTCTGAGTTTTTTCAAGCCCTGATATATATATATATATATATATATTGACATTATATGATATATATATATAAAAAATTCCCATTATGAAATTCATTTCACATGAATATTAATCTATATTAATTAAATCCATTTAACATACCTTTTGGAATATGCAAAATATGAGCAATATTCCATAAAAATGTGTTTATAGGTAATGTTATATGAGGTTCAATAATCATTAACAGAAGACAAGTGAAGACTGTTATTCTGACATTGGATAGAGAAGCTGGCCACACTCCGTTGTAGATTAAATTTCTAAAAACAAAAAAATTTCATAATTAGCACATTTATAAGACAAAATCACTGCAATTGCAACAATAAAATTTGTTCAAAAGTTCCTTATAAAAATTTAAAGTTTCAAAAAGAAACCTCAGACATGGTTTAGGATTTGGCAACAGAATTGTTCCAAAAACCAGGGCCAAATTAACCATTAAGCAAACTAAGTACGTGCGAAGGGCACCAGAGAGCATCTAAGAAAAAAAGAATTTCTATAATTATTTTTTTACACTTCTATATTTATTTGAATTTGAAAATTTCCATATTTATTTGAATTTGAAAATTTCTATATTTATTTGATTATAAGATCTTACACATGATCATGCTTTAAACTAAATTGCTATTGTGTTATATTTCATTTCCGGAGAAATGAGAAAGAATGTTGTGTACAGCTGGTATCTCAACACAAAATGACCAATGCTTTTTTTATAACAGACAACATATATAATTAGTGAATAGACCTGAAATACAAAAATAGAGTAGGGAAGAAACTTCATGTAAACAAGCGTAACAAATTGATTTTCTACACTAACATGTCTAAATCAAAGCATCTCTGAAACATCTTGGGGACTGATAATTGCCCCGTACACTTTTGCCTTTTTTCAGCAAAAAAATACTATTTCTCTAAATATTGTTGAAAATAAGATAAGCTTGAAACTTTTTAAATTGTCTTTCTTTGTGGAGACTTAGAAAAAAGTGAGAAGGGTTAATAAAAGAGAGAGGTTCTTTGATTGACAAACTTTTTTAAACTAATTACATGATAAGGAGCTACATCAGTTACTAATTTTCCACCTGTGCTAGAAAGTCGAACATTTATAAAAACTTAAACAGATTTTAGAGTGTAACTTGATCTTGACTCAGTGTGTGCTTTGTTCATTTCATGTTCAAGGATACTTAGTTTGATTTTAAAAGTAATTATCTTTTCTAAGTCTCAATAATGCAATGAGACCATAAAAAGAAGAAAGAATCCCCCAGAGATTCTTGAAAAACTTTACGACTGACATAGAAAGTAACAATTTATTTTTATTAAGTGTTAATAGAAAAATTTCATCAGCTTCAAAATTAATGTGGAAAAAAGTCAACATATTTTCTTATATAAGCTTAATTTTAATTTAGACTAAATAAATAATTTATTTATAAGAGGAGTCAGGTGTTCTAATCCAGCTCATAGTAAATGGTCAAATTTGATATACTGTGAGCAAAATTAAAAATTAATGCTAAGAATAACTTTTGATCTAATCTAATGATCGGATTTTCAAATTCTTAATAGTTCAAGGACTTAACCTTAAATATGTTAATTAATTAATGCTGACTACATTTTAAGTTATGAAATCAGACACTAAGAAGTATGTTTTCATAATAAACAGATTTCTTTAATCTTTTTCAACAGACTTGGTATTCTGACCTATGAAATATGAAAAGGGCAGAAAGCCCCAATCTGGAAAATGTGGTCCCAATAATTTATGCAGGAAAGCAGTTAAAAGTTTGGACCGCTTCATGTTAATTTTACCTTTTGCATATTTCTCGAGAAATTGATAAGAAAATCGAAAAGGCTTTTGTATACAATTATAAAATCCAATATAATTCCATGTAAAGTAATAACCATTATAATTTATTTTATCTAATGAAATGAATTTGAATTGTAAGGAATTACATTGATAATTATGACAAAATACAAAATTTAAATGAAATTGGATGAATAGTTCTCACGAAATCAAGTTTTAAACATACAGCTTTTTGGAATTTGCTAACTTAGAAACTATTCGATCTATTACGGTCAAATTTTGTATTTTGTAATTTAAAACTAAGAATGGTGTAAAATTTTGAATGTTTAGACTTCTTTAAGCGAAAATAATTAATGATAATAAAAATTGTTATTATATGAAATTATCTTTAGATTCACGAATTTTATAACTGTGTAAAAAAATCTTTTGATTCCCTTAAAATTAAACATCTCTCACAATTTAACGAAATACACAGAAAAGTGAAATCAACATTAAGAGTTCCAAACTTTGGACTGTCTTCTTGCCTAAACTTTTGTGACCCTGACCATAGTTTTCAAATTGCAGCTAACTAACAGTCAAGACTCCAAATCCACGGAAATAACATAGATTTGTTTAGAAAAATTATGTTTTGTGTCTGATTTCATAATTATAATAATTGTTTTGTGTCAGATTTTGTAGAATATCGTTTTCACTAATTAATTAGCGCATTTAAAATTTGGGTTTGCACCCATTAAGATTGAGTTCTAGTATATGAAAATCCGGTTATTTAATGATAAGTTAGTTAGGGTGTTCACTTTTTTATTTAGCACCCACCCTTTCTCAGAAAATATGAAATGAATTTTTTTTTTCTTCATGTTATAGGGCACCATTTTGTAAGTTTTTACATTAAAAAAATTTTGAATTTATCAGCTGTAGTTTTTTTTCTTCTTTATTTTCATGATTAAGTTTTTAATTGTGTTCCTTTTAACTGTGTCTGTTATTACACTGTTATTGTAATTGTCATTGTTTGTTTGTTACGTTATCAATACTTAAAACTTTTAGAAGATCTTTGGTACTTCTCCCATATATCTTAATATCCTTAAGATACAACTTGAGTACAGACTTCAGCACACAAATCTTCTCTAGAGTTTGTCTCACTATTAGTCATTATAATATAGGATAAAAGCCTGGGTTGGATTCAGCTGAAACATATCCTTGGAACAGCTTTTCAGAAGACCTTTGGTACTTCTCACAGATATCTTAATACCCTTAAGATACAACTTGAGTACAGACTTCAGTACACAAATCTTCTCTAGATTTTGTCTCACTATTAGCCATTATAATATAGGCTAAAAACCTGAGTTGGATTCAGCTGAAACATATCCTTGGAACAGCTTTTTAGAAGACCTTTGGTACTTCTCACAGATATCTTAATATCCCTCGGATTCCCACGTGGAGGATTAAAAGTAAAATGTCATGATAAATTAAAATCTAGATGCATGTAAGGTATTTTCATAAAAAAAATACTAACCTCACTTTATAATATCTCTTTGTTACAGTGCTTCTTACAGTTTTGAAAATTTCTTTGTAAGATTCAGGAGCTGCTATTTCATCGATGGTATTTACCCTGGGTTCTGCCACAGCAATACGTGCTTCTGCCATAATGCAGACTGAAAATAAGACAAAGAAAAATTGATAAAACAAAGACGACAGAATGAAAGGTTATCACATAAGTACTTTATTTTAAATAGGCTACAAAAACAAAAATCTCTTGTGAGATGAAATTAAAAAAAAGGTTTCAAAATTGAAAAAAATATTAATGTTTTAATGCACTCATAACTACCAAGAAATCGTGATTTAAACTAAAGATTAAAACTAGATAAAAGTAACATTAATTTAATTATTTTTAACTTTTAGTAATAGAATTTTTGAAATTAATACAGTGTGAGTTTAGAATCTTTCAGTTTCGCAAGTTTAAAGATAACAAATTTTTATTGCTAATACACTTTACCTCATAAAACTTCTTTTATTTTTACATAAAAGAAATCGAACAATAAGCAAATAACACTTAGAGCAATTACAGCATAACAACAATTTTATAAAACTGTAAATAAATTACTTTTTTCACCATTTCTCCTATTTTTAAAACAACTGGAATTTTTTCCAAAAAAAATTGGAAAAATTAACATGAATAACATATTACAACAGTTTCTAAATGAACTTAAGCATCATCTCGCTTGTAAAATAAAAAAGAAATGCCAAGAATGTTTTTAAAAATAAAAAGAAGAAGGGTAACATGAATAAAATATTCCCATACTGCTTTCACTAAATATCCTTTCATCAAAACTTAAATGAAAAAAAATAATTCAACTTCTAATTTTTATAAAATAATAAAGGGAAAAAATGAAATAAAAAAAAAAACACAATGAAAGCTGCTCTTGACTTTTTTCATCTATCAACATTTTTTCTTAAAAAAAATAGAAAGATAAAATTTTAAACATGCTACTATTAAAAAAAAATTTTTTTTTCCTAACACAAAATATGTGTTGTCAATATTTAAATATTAGTCATACATATTTTCTGCTTAGGATAGTATCAAAACTAAAAATTTATAAATGCATATTAAAAATATAATAAATAATTACATATTTTTATTTTTATCACAGAAAAGTGTGAACATAAGAAGAGGACAAATATAAACAACATTCCCCTACACCAAATTAGCAGTACACCCAGAAGATGGAGATATTAGAAGATCTCCCCGTTGCAGTATCCCTGATAACCATCATGATACAGTTTACCCAGGATGCCAGCAAAGGAAGTCAAGAAGATGGACTGGCACCTTGCTGGATATCCATTGAATGAAAAAATATATAATTTGCAATAATGTTTTTTTTTTATTTAAATAAATATAAATAATGCTCACTGTTATTGTTGCTACACTAATACTCACTGTTTCTTTTCAAATTCTCATAACATAATTCATTAATTTAATAATATATTTTAATAGAACATGATTTCTTTAGTTTTTTAAATTTAAATGTTGTTAAAAATATTTTTTTTCTCATAATTTGTTGGTTTAGCAGGTTTTATATTATATGATTTCTTTAGTTTTTAAATTTAAATGTTGTTAAAAATATTTTTTTTTGCTCAAAATTTGTTGGTTTAGCAGGTTTTATATTAAATTAAAAAATTTTAGGAAAATTATTGATGCCCACACGTAAAACTATTTTTCATTAAAAAGAAATATACACGATTTTTGGAATGGTATTTTAATGAATAGTATTTAAATTAATATTTTCCCTTGTGGCACCCCCTCACCTATCCCTGAGAAAATTTCCGCATGCAACTTTCTGTTTATTAGTACTCCTTCAATGAACAACACATAGCAGAATCGAACAACCCAATAGAAAAACCACTTCAATTTCAATTTTAAAAAAAAAAAATTTTAAATTTTTTTACAATAAACATGTCTACAGCTATCAGTGTAAGAGCCAGATACAAATGTCAGTTCTCTCTTAAATAATAAATAATGTTGGAAAAGCTACCAAACTTGTTGGAATTCAAAATAGACAGGAACTAATTAATTTAAACGTAAGAAATAAAAATATAACAGATACTAATTAAAAATGTCTGTTGTATTTTTCATTTCGTTTGGGCCTTAATATCAATTAGTGAGTGAATCTGCTTTTTCTTGAAATAGATCTCTATATTATATCCTATAAAACAAACATATTCCTATTTAGTAAATTATTATACACATCAATGCTAATTTTATTATCAAAGTGAATAAAATATGCTATTATAGTAAAAATTGAACGATTCAAAAATCAAGCAGATAAACTAAACACTTAGTAAACATTAATTTGCATACTATGTCAGCATAACTTATTTAAAATATTTTATAGAACAATTTATACAGTTAGTACTTCAAACACATATATACAGTGATCCCTCGTCTTTCGCGGTTAATGGGGACCAGAACCTTCCGCGAAAGCTGAAAAACCGCAAAGTAGGATTTGCCCCTAGTAATTTTCGTGTATGTGGGTACACGAATATTTTAAATATGTAAACAGTATTCATACTTTACACATTAAAAACAAAAATTACAACAGTATATGTACATATTTACTTAAACGTGTATATACATATAATATTTAATTTATACTTGTATATACATATAATAATTAAAATACATATTTACTTACTTACTCTCGCTGTTTCCCTAACTTATTTATTTATTTGGTCTCAGCATTATAATTTCTATGTTGAATCTATTTACTATTATTATTCTAAATTTTTTTCACTTAATTTTAATAACTATTAATTCTCAATCATTATGGGATATTAAACCTAATTAGTTTTAGGGTGTTATAGATGGCAATTAATAATTTTTGATGCGTATACCATAACATGAAATATATAATTGTAAAGTTTGATTTTTTTCTAAAGTTTATTGACCATAATAAGTTTTGGGACCACTAAATGTTGGTCCTATTGGACAACTAAATTTTCATTGCTGGTGTGAACCCTACAAATATCAATAATAAACTTCATCTAACAGAAAACAAACTGAAATATTAAGAGCCGGAAAATGCTGGATTATTAAAGGTTCGTAAAATTTAATTTCATATTAAATAAAATTAACATCTTCCGACAATTCAACGTAAACAATCTTACTTAATTTAGAATTACAACCTAGTACACATCACACTTTAATAACAATAAAACTTTTTTTTTTAAAAAAAAAGCTATATTAATGAAAATCATGTCTCATTTCTTTCACTCTAACCAGAGTTCAAATTAGAATACAATTAATATTAACCTTCTTATATTACTAATATAAAATTCAAAAGGAATTAGAAATTTTTATAATAAGAATAACAATGATAGTAGGTGCAGCTGATACAACTTTTCTTTAGGACTTCCTGTCTAAATATTTAAATTTAACTTAAAGTATAATACTAAAATAAAACCTATAATATAAAAAAAAAAATTAATAAATAACTGAAAACAATAAGTTATACTATTTATACTATCAAATCAGATTTTTCGAGGTTTCTAATGACAATAGTTCAGTTTAAAAAATAAAAAAACAACTATCAATACCATTCAAAAATTTTGACAAAATTTTCTCAGTTACAAATTCTTAAATTATCCATTAAAATAGGATTCAAAAGTATTAGTTCTTTATGTAAACCCTACTTCCAATTATCTTCGTGATATTAAAAGATACGTTTCACAAACAAAACTGTTTTGCTAGCTTATTCTAGCATTTTAGAATTGTAATAATGAAATTGAAACGAGCAGGTTTTGAATGTTGTTTAAATACTTAAATAGAATGTGGTCGGTTAAAATAAATGACAGATCAAAACAAACACTTATGTTTCTTTTTTTTAAAAGAAAAACAGCACTAAAATTGCGCTAGTGTTTATATCTAAATACGAAATAAATTTCGTTAACTCAACATACAGAAAGTACACAAAAACTAGTAATCAAAAATAATATAATGTATCGTACTAAATAGTCAAATAATCTCTAAATAGCAACACAAAAGTTTTCATAAACAAAATATGAATTGCCAAATGTCAGTCCAAACGAAAAATAAAATGTAAATAGTACAGTTCTTTGGATACATATTTTAATGTAAATACTTACTTAATATTGATCAACAAAAAATAATTTTTTTAAAAAATGCACTTTTACATGATCATTTGATAACGATATCAACACACGAGTCAAGAGCACTACACTTTTAGTCTTTGTTTTGTCGATTTCAGCATCGAATGTAAACATCAACAATTTTCACATCTCCCTCAACGTGATTGGTTGTGAAATTCCTTGCGTCGTCGCTAAAGTCAAACGCTGCCAAAAATGCTCCATTTCAAGGTTTGTCGTCTTCTATATCATTATTTTAAAATGAACTATAAATCACATTTTCTGTCGCAACTTTAATGACTAGATATTTTAATACACTTAATAATCCATAATAATGATAAATTATTTTTTTTTCTATAACTCTATGGATATTTTACCAAAAGATTTCTTTTTTTAATTTTATTCTAAAGAAAGTTATTTTCCAATTCTAAAATATTTATATATTCATTACACATTAGCAGCTATTTAAAAGGATATATTAATTTAATTAATGTAATGGTTGTAAAATATTCACGATTTCTAGAAAGTGAGATATTTTTCAAAAGTTTAAAAAGTTATGAAAAAATTATAAGTTCTTAACAGTTCATGAAAAAATAGAATTTAAAAAAAACAGTTGCTTTTCTTTTTCCAGAAAAAAAATTAAAAAATCATTTCCTTCTGCTTAATTTTCAGTTTTTGCTTTATTATTTATTTATTTTTTAATTGTGTTCCTGAGAATATTATTTTTGGACTCTAATTATTTATAATTTACTCATGGATAGTTTATTCACAAGTGCTATTGTTATTTATTATTTTGTCAACAGTAAAAAATTTCAAATTGATTTTAAGTTTTCTTCCTTGAAAACTGTAAATTAAATTGTCCGTTCAATCAAAACAAAAAAAAATTATGAAAAATAATTTTTATAAATTTAATTTCTAATAATCTTTATGTATTTAATTAATGTACAAAAGTAATGCAATTTTTTCAATAGATTTTTGCGAATTGATAACTTAAATTTTCAAATCCTACTGGAAAACTTTAAGTAAAAGTTTATTAAAAATTCCTATTATCTAAATTAATTATATAGTGGATTGTATAGTCGTGTATTTTCTTCGTTGCACTAAGCTGTTAAGTTATGCATGTTTTTTTTTTTTTTTTTTNTTTTTTTTTTTTTTTTTTTTTTTTTTTTTTTTTTTTTTTTTTTGTGTGTGTGTGTGTGTGTCGAAATACTTATATGAAAAGTTAAACAAACGAACACACAAAAAATATTATTTGTTTTAAAGAAGAACCAACATTAAAGAGTCGAACGGAATAAGAAATTAGTTAGAAAATTTTATATCGGAAAGTTATTTAAAATACTTATAGAAATAGAATACACATTTGAATAACTTAAACTTTCACTTAAATGAAGTGCGGAATTCGTCACTTGCTAGAGAATGTGTCAGCTGCCTGCTTTCTTCTTTCTCGGTATGCTTCCTCATGAACATGAATAATAACTAATGAGAATGTGAACTCCTGACTCTGAGTCACATCAAGACTTTTTTTATGATGCGTTTATTTATATGATTAATATTTATTCTCCTTTGTATTAAAAAGTGCAACGATCGGTTTAAATTTTATCATATTTTTTAAAAATTAGTCACCACATAAAATTTAATAAAATATAAAGTTAAAAAAAAATTACCCGGAATTCTTTTTTTCCTTATAATTTGTACCTTTTTCAAAATTAATGAATGCTATCAGCATAGTATGCATCTAACGTTGTTTCTATCATTTTAAGACTGTTTAACTGCTTACGACCAAAATATTTTCATAAACAAAAACATTTTAGCTATGCAGTTACTTCTGAATAATGCTCTCAGTTTACGTATTGGCATATTAAAATAATTATTTTATTTTTTTTACATTACCTAAATTTATTAGCAAAAACTGTCCGCTGTAGAAAAAATATGCCAAAAAATTATCCGTTTATTACAATGGATTCACGATTTTTTATAATATACTCCATTGTTAATGAAGGAATTGTTTAATTGCTGAACATAGCATATTTAGCAAGTTAAAGAATGTTTGAAATTTCTAATAAATATTGTAAATCAAATTACAGAATAACCAAATAAATAACAATTTATTAACATTTTCACGAAATAATACATTCTTTTTTGGGTTCCCTATTCAAGAGGTTATGTCCTAGCCCCCGTACTCCTAGTTTGACCTTGGGGATAACAAGAGCCCCCTAAGATAATGAAAAAAGCTTAAAAGCCTGTGCAAGAAAAAGCAATTAATTTTAAACTATCGAGAAAATCAAAATTAAAACATAGTCAATAAAATATACTAATCATAAAAAGACCGTTTAAAATTATATTTAAAAATTTTTAGAAGGACTGCGACTTAAAATTACGAGCTTGAGGATTGAAGTAATGATACTTATAAACGTATTATAAAAATGTCTTAAATAAAGATTTATAAACTTACCTTTAAAAAACACACAATATTAAAATAAATAATCCAAAACTTTTCTAAAACAACATACTTATAGCATGAAATTTAACAAAAAAACAATGTTGTCAGCCTATTTAGTGACTAACATTGTTAATCCCTAAGCAGGCTTAGAAGTTTTGCTTTTTTTTAGTTAAAAAAAATTCTGAAATTTGAAATTCGTAATTAAGGGGTGAAAACTCGATTTGAATTTCGGAATTGCTAACATGATCCTATAACTGCACTACATAGATCCACTGTTACGAATATGATGAAAATATATCTAAAAATAGCAAAAATTTTAAATAACTGTTACTTTTGATTGTAGAAGATGTTGATTTCATTTTTAAGAAAGTAGCAAGTATTTGAATGATATAACGAAGTAGTAATTTTACAACACATAATAAAACAACGTATTCGAAAAGTTTGAACTTACATAGCAAAATAAAAAATCCCAAAATTGTCCTTATTGAATAACAGATGATAAACGAAATAAATGATCCCGAATATTTTTATTTTCCTTGAAATTGTAGTCCAAATTACGTAAAAACTCACCAATGAATGTTGTTCATTTGTCTTAAAGTTAGCCTTGAAAGTAGGTTTCTTTTCAGGTAAATAATACTTAAAAGAATAGCTGGAAATAATTGTTCAATTATTTATTTCTTTTTACGAATATAAATAATACACGAATGATTTATGTAATAATAAATTGAAAAAAAAAAACTGAATGACAAACTGCATATGATTAGATGTTGAAAAAACAATAATTTTTTACTCTTTAAGTATACTTTCAATATTAAAGCTTTTGGAACAATTAATGCATTGAAAAATACATAATTTAAAGTTAAAAAATTAAACTTGCTTTTAATAAAAACCTGTATATTACCTTCTGCGCATTCCTTAAAAATTCTTTTCAAGCATCTACTTCATCATTTGGTTGTTTTTACGAAATATTCTTTCCAGGGCACACTAAAGCAGAAATTTTTAAGCGCAGAAATTTTTTCTGAAATTTTTATCCAACTTTGAGAATATGACCATTTACTTATCTGTTTAAGATAACTTATAAAGGTTCAGTACATCCTGTTTAGAAAAACTCTTTTTTTTTTCTTCGTTTTTTGAAAATTGCCGTAATGCTTTAAAATGATAAACCCAAAGTTTAACGGGAGGGAGGGGGGAGGATATATACATCAATAATTCGAAGTTTGAGATTTTGCACAGTCTAAAACAGTCCCCTGCGTGTTGCCAGCTAATGCCCTGGCTGGATTTACTAGGTAATATAGGGCTTTATTGCCAGCAAATCTCAATAGCGTATTCAATGCTACAATTTCAAGTATACCGAAACTTGTATACCGAGCAATTTCAAGTATACAGAACTTGTCTGAAATTTTAACCCCCCCCCCAGCTGACTTCAAATTTAAACTGTAATAAAAATAAGACTTTTTTTAAAATTCGGTTTCCCAGGGATTGTACGACCAATTCCGCTCAATTTTTGTATTTTGCCATGCAAAAATATATTCTTTAAAATGATATTAAAAAAAGTTTTATACCTTAAGATTCAAAATTTTTTCAACTATTATGAAATATAATAATAAGAAATAATAAATATTTGCTATAAGTTACTTTTTGCTTGGAAATACCTTTGGATAAATTAATTTTGTAACTGTGTGAGCAAATTTTTCGATTCGCTTAAAAAGCTCTCGAGATATGGCGAAATACACAAAAAGTAGAATTAACATTAAGGGGTCCGAACATTGAACCACTCTCCTAACCAAACTATTGGGGCCATATTTCCCAGATTGCCGCTGTTTTGGGGATCAAAAACCGAATCCGAGGAAAAAGAGGTATGTTTATTCTGAGAAAGTCTGTTTTTGTGTTTGATTTCGTATCTTAAAACATCGTGCACTAATTAATTCGCACATTTGAGGTCACCCGCTCGAACCATTAAGATTGAGTTTAGAACGTGGAAACAGATCATTAGATCAAAAATTATTCTGGGTGGTCCATTTTTTTTTCTTTTTGGTGCTCTGTACATTTAAAATAACATTGTTTGCAGAAGTACAAATTATTATTTATCTATGTATATATACATATTTATATTTTTCTCCATATTCATATATTATTAATTCGTTATTTTTTGTCTGTTTGTTTTTTTAGGAAATTTACAAAAAAATAGACTATTAATGCAAAACAGAATACATTGAATAAGTTTTTTTTTACGTCTGCTTTCAGTTGAAAAACAAATTATTTTCATTTATACCTTCAAATTTTTTTGCAGGAGTTACTGATTTATCAGTATTTACATTAAATTTACCCTTTAAAAAAATGAGATTTAATCAATAAAACAGAAATCATTCTGTTGCACTCATTTGCCATTATTTCTGTACTGCTCGGGAAAAATTAATTTTTGCACTTCACTAGTTTTTAAACTATAACCTCTTAATTGAATACTGTTATTTTTCTACTCCGATTAAATGATAATAATATTCAAGGAGTTATACTTTAAAAAGGCGACACCGGTCAAGTTAAAGAAAAATGTTTGCATTACAAACAGAGAAACATTTATTTAGTCAAGAAAAACTTTTATGGAATATAAATATATTTTACATTTTATGGACAACACTTAAATGGAAATAAAGCTTTTATAAAAGGCACGTGTTCGATCTTTAAAGTAACGTAGGTCATATCATAAAAGAGTGAAGGAAAAAGGTTAATTTTATTTAT